GGCCCAGAGTGCTGCTGATGAGTCAAATCGGCCGGGCATCCGGTAGAATTGTCTGATGATCATAAATCGTCTAGGCAACATTGGAGCACTCCACAACAAGAGCAGTGCTGTCAAAGAGTGATAGGTGCGTGTGCGCTCCGCGTTGTTGTAAAAGTTCGTGGTGATATACGAAAGTGGAGGCGAGACGGTTTTTTGCCAGCGCCAGTACCACACCACTCCACACCACTACAGACACAATTAGAATGGCATTCGTACTTAGTTAAACTGATGATGAAAATACTCAAGTGACGGGTTTACACAGCGCTGCATCCTTCAGAAAAGGGGCAGGGGGAGAGAATGAAGTGGCGATGAGGGACTGGGCGAAAAGTGGAGAGCGCATTGATGTAAGCTGAAACAATTACGTTTACGGATATAGTAGCAGCTTATTCCTATCTCCTAGTCCTGCCAAATTGAGCTCTCAAGAACACACCCCACTTGTTCCGATTTCCCGGTCTCTCCGTATTGCCGGATTCTCAGAACCAACTTCCGCCTGTGGAAAAGCAGGGAACCACTCTGAGGCGGCTCATTTTGGCAGCAGGTCAAGCTGCAAAGGCGAACTTGGTACACCGTGTCACGTATTTCGGGAAGATCTGTTCCGTTTTCCGGTTTCCGATTTCCGTCAAGTCATAATATTCACCCAATGGTCCGTATTGGCTACTACTTCCAGCGCAAGTTTGGCAGAGGTAATTGCTACTGGCGGTTCAATTGCGCACAATTACATCTTCCCAAGCAAAAGCAGCTAGTTTCGATTTCCGATTCTTGCCGCTCGCTTAAACTGTTTCGCATTCGTTCTTCCACGTTGACTTATCCAGACGTCCTTGTATCGCTTTTTACCACTTCGGAACTTCGAAAAACCATCCCAAAGTTGGAGGCAGTGTCATTGCTCGAAGACGCTCGCCAACTGACTCCCTTTCGCCATAACTTGCTAAGAGAGGGGCCAAAGAAGTATCGCTGCCCTAAAGTGTCACACAGAGTATATTAGCGCACCAACCTTAAGATAAACGCCGCGCGAAACGAGAAAAGCCCACAAATCAGGAAGCTAAATAAGTTCTCCTTCCCTTTACTCCCCAACCCCGTCCCTTCAACTCACCCGGCTGTGTTGTCTAGTTTGGTCCGAAGGTTCTCTGGATTGACAGTTTTTTTTTGTTTATCCCTACAGTTTCAGGGAATGAAAGTTTGCCCCTGGAATCTCCGAGGCACACTTCTACGTGTATCAAAAAAAACCGTTCTCGGAGCGCTTCGCTCTCTGGAAAAATGCCAGGAGACTCGCGGGATGATCTCAACAAAGGATGCTAACCGCGAGCACCGATGGTGCGAATCGTCAGCGAAGGAGGTCAAAGTATACGCGTAAACTTCGGCGCGCGAAAGAAATCTCGGATGGGAAACTTTAGCAATCAAAGGAGCTTAGGCTGCAAATCTATTGTGATAGGCTTAATGCGGACTGGATCCTGAATGGAACAGTTTGACGAGTTACAGTTGTCTAACGGTCCTGGTGGTGGAAAGTTCGTCCGGTTGACGAACCGTTGAACTGTAACTTCCTTGCCAAATCGCTGGCAATCAATGGATGGATGGTAGGTTTTCTGGCCAAATTCTACTACCATGTCTTCGATAGTTCTCGGAAATCGTTCTTGCAGTAGCCCGTTGTTTCACTATTGGTCACAGCAAAGCCCCAGAACGGGAGAAATTCCGTGGTGGACTCAGATTATAGGGGGTCAGAATACTTGCCAACAAGACCATTTACTTGACTTGAAGGCCATTTTTTTGCCAATACTCCCCCTTACACCCATCTGGTCTAAATCTTCTACAATCTCCTTGTCAAGAAATCCTCTTGGCTGTGCAGGGCAAGGGACTGAGAGCGTTCCAAGGCCTACTTCTCCCTATCGAGACAATGTGCACCATTGATGGTAACCACAGCCAGTTGCTCCAGTTGGCCAGAATCACATTTTTTCAACCGGACGACCTTTCCTACCACCAGGACCATGTTGCTCACTGGTAGTGGACTTGACCATGGTCACAAAAGGGTTAGATATTCCGTCGCATTCGCGCCCAAATCCACCCAAGAGAGCCAGGGAACAACCTAGTCGCGTCTGTTTGTTTATTAGTCGATCGATCTTTTGCATGTTGTGTTTTTTCCTTTCCTGGAATCGTCGACAACATCATTACGGTATGTGCACGTGCATGAGACATGTGAGAGAGTTCATAGAACTAGACGGGTGTGGTTACGGTATTTATAGGCTATGCATCGCATGAATAATTGAGAGAAGAACACTTGAGTCCAGTAGACCAATGAACGATTACTGTTCATGATGTTCATAGGTCAAAGTCGATTTGTTGGGAGGGAATGACGAGAACAGCGCATTGGCTGCAGCAGAGTTTTTTGCCATCATGAGGTTGCAGGTTCATTCCACCTTCGGACAACTAGCTCTGTTCCCTTGAAGCTTGTCATTCTTGAGACGCGCTTATTCGAGACCATAGGCTTCGGATCACTGAGTACCCCTCGGAGTTAAATGATCAAAGGCACGTTCCGCGTTAATGAAGTGGGCGGAGTCCGTTGAACATGTGCATCCTTCTCACTGATTACTCCTCAATCCTGAAACGGCAATGAGAAGGAGGAATGCTCATTGGTTCGCCCATACTACCAGCTCTAAGGCTCGGTTGACAAACTTGAGTCTTGCTCGCTGCAGATGTTTGGCACGGCGCCAGTCCTTTCTCCTCCACTCGCTGAAGAAGGGAAAGTGATGACAGTTGGCGCCACGCCAACCCCCCTCCCCCCGAACTGCTCCCAGCAACCGCAATGAAGACGATAAATGGGTATGTAGGGGGTAGCTTACGAATAAGGGTTCACAGGGGCTTATAGGGTTCGCTAACAAACATCCATGCTCCGCGCCATCGGTGGAATCGTCGTCTGGTAGCGAAAAAAAAACTCGTCGACTGAGAGGATAGTGTAGACGACGCTGACCAAGCACGTCAGCGACCCGAATACGACCCCCTGTACAACGATGTCACAGTGTACATCAGTTCGCGACTGTTCCTGCTAGGCCGCTACAGGGCAGGGGAGACTTGGTCGGGTCAATGGCATGCTCAAAGGCAGGGGCTTCGAGTCTACGAGAAAGGTGGCACAGATGAAAGGGTATGCTCAAGGTTTGCTGCTTAGGGTTCTGCGAAGCTGAGCAAAGCGCTAAATAAAGCCCTGTCCACACCCCCTTACCCTCTCCTTCCTTGGAGATAGACGTGCTCAGCTTCGAGTAGACTGGTCGCAAATGGCAAAATCTGCTTAGCCGTCTTTTCAAAAGATTCCTGGGATTCACGGATTAGGTCGATTTTCCTGGGGAAATAGGGCGAAGCGTTCGGCGTTGATCAATCCATTTTGGCGCCAAGCACTCCACTTCAGTTTGGCCCACACTGATGAAGGAACATCACCCGATTACAACCCAGGGTTTCTGCCCTCCCATACAATTCTGGTGGAAAGTTGCCGGCTCAGAGAAGATGTAAGTCCGGACGACTCTGGCCAGAGGGAATGCTGGGATTCCATCCTGGACTATGCGAGGGGTAAATACCACCACTTGTCACCACATCATCCCACATCCAAAGTATCGACTGGTTTACTCTGGGGGGGGGTACCTACCCTAGGAATGGAAATGTCACAAAATAGCACAATTAAGACACATTCATCTTTTTCAACATCAGTACTTTCAGTACATTATAGGTAGGAAAGGATCGATTAGAATTTTTTCTTTCCCGGGTAGAAGAGTCATTAGGCGGTTTTATGTCTAAGGTTGTTTGAAGAGAGATGTACGTTCACGTGATGGACGGAAAGTGCAAAATTAACAGTGACACACACACACACACTCACACTCTATCCACTACTATTAGACGACAATTACTTGTTAAATAGTAACCATTAAGCACTGACTATAACAAAAGTGCAGAAAATTGAACGAGAACAATTGTGGTTAAAAGTTATTACACAACCATTTCATGAACGTCCTTCAACAATGTACTTTTCAAAAATTCGATAAACAGGGTTTTAATTGAGAACTTAGAAGCTAGAATGGCGTAGTTCGGCTTTGGGGGGGGGGCATCAGATGCTACTCAGCTAAGGTAAAGGCCACATTGTGAAGACGTTCTTGTGACGAAAAGGGCTTACTCAGCAACTCCGGAGTTTCACAGGCGTTTACAGGTTTGACCGAGACCTGCTAGTTCATGAACTTAAAAAATAACTAACGAATGTGCGAGGTGCCCCCTTCAAGCCGAACAACGCCGGCTGGAGAAGTGCGGTATCTCACGTGGTTCCTTCCAGGCTGGGATGGACTATTTGCCTCCATGCTAAGCTCTCCAATGGACTATGCTTTTTACCCTATTGTCGTGCAGACCAGACCTTGTTTCCCAGTTTAATTTTTGATCCGTGACGATTCTCTATAGCAGCCTGCCCCTGGGAATGCGAAGAGCAAGAGGGCATTGACATCTTGCGCTACTTCTCAGGAGCTTTCATGGAAATATCATAGAGCTCAGGAAAAAGGGAGTATTATAATGTGAGACGAGTAAGCTGTAACGAACGCAATGGCCATTGTTGAAGCTGGAAAATTGCGTAGGAAATGGGAGTCGAGTTTTCAGAGAGTGGTTGTGGGAAAGGCCATTTTACGGTCTTTATTGCAGCCTGCAGACGGTTTTTACTCGAGAGAGGTCGTAGAACAGCGCGTGTAAACGAGCATTCGAGGACAATTCTGAGGTTTGGAGCTGCAATGGTGCTAACCGTGAGACAATGAATGGTTCATTGGGGGGGGGGGGGGTATCGGTAGAAGATCTTGCGCCTTACACAAAATCTCTCGTGGGTTCTGACGACAAAGTGGAGGGGAGCTTGAGGCAACGAGCCCATTCCAGGTCTACCGCTCCCCAAGTAGCAGGACTTTCTTGAGGCTTGTTCTATGGATTCTCCGGGCACCTACCAAGAGATGGGGAGCTTAGAGGTAACGTGCAAGGATAAGCTCAACTGAAAAGGGCCATTGCTACTTCATTTCTTCCCTGCCCATATGCCCTACCGTATAGAACCCCTCGCAATACATTTGCCTCTGAGGACTGAAGTGCTGGGTAATACTTAACCCCTTTCATTAGGCCCCAGAATAACTTGGTGCCGAGAGAGAGAACATGGAAGGACGACTATGGCAAGTCCAACCTGCTTCTCCTTCTCACCTTTTCACCGGCTGAGAAACTTGTGAATGGTTCTAGCCTAAGGCTCAAAAAACATAGTAAGACGGGACAGGACCGACAGCAGGGTGTAGTCAGTCGCGCTGCTGCGTAGCACTCTGCACGCCCCACCCTCCCTTCTGCCGACCATGAGGCTGCTTGCCAACTTTTCCCCCCACACCTTTTTAACCTTTCAGTGATCTCCACGACTTCCAGAGAATCGGTGTACGTGGCGGGTGAAGGGGAAATATCAGGGATGTTTGTTCCATAAAGGATGTTCATAAGGGATCATAAGCCGGCTTTTTTCAATGAAACCCCACTTATTTTTTTGAAATAGTGCCGGTTCTGATGTAGGGATGAGATGTGAGAAATCGCGCTAGGCGCTCAAGAGGGGGTATGAAACGGAAGAAGACACAGGCGACTCTGGAGAGTAAGAATTTTCAACTGAAAAAGAGTGATAATGATCTGAGATTTGAAGGCTCAGGAAAAAACAGGTGATGAGATCGATCGATAAAATCGATAAATCGATAGAATGAAGGACTTACAAAGTTTATGTGGATGTCGTCGACAATTCAAATACCAGCAGTATATGTTTTTTCGACATCGTAGCGATAATTCACGATGATTACCGTTGAGGAGTTTCGAGATGTACGGTTGCGATACGCCTGAAAATATTCACGGACTTCATCGAGATCTACCGTAATCGCTCCCCTGGTCGTGGTCGTGTAACCTTGCGTTACGCATACGCGATGTGATGGAAGAATCGCGGCGCCATCCGGTGACGATATACGGTATCGTCGTGTCGTGGTGTGGCGCGTAAAGGTGTATGCGCTCGAACTACGCGCAGACAAAGAACTACGTGAGTTTTTTTTCAGCGTGTCGTTCAATTATCTCGCCATTAAGGATCTGACTATGTCGCCGCGCTGTGTTACAGCGTCCCCCCGAAACAGGCTCTCAAGAAGTAATGACTTACCGGTCATCATTGCGACGGTAGTTTGACGAAGTGAATACTGTGTGATGAACTGCTTCATATCGGCTATACACGCCTCTTCGCCTTGTTCCATGAACTCGTCCAACTCTTCAGGTCGATCCAATGTGGTTATCTCTTTCATTGGAGTACGCAGACTTCGAATTGGTCGACCACCGGCGTTGTTCTCGTATCGTGGCAAGGTAGCCGCTGGGGCTGAGCAGGGAATTGCAGCTGCTTCGGAGACATTGACAGAAGCGTCTGGGGTCCTGGAAGTTGTCGGTTCCGATGCAGCAGAAGCAGCTGGTACAGTCTGAACGCTTAGCCGCTCGGGTGAAGTGCTCACTTCAGGAGGTGTGGCGGATATTGTGATGGGCACTGGTGGCTGTGCTTGCAGTACCTGCAGAAGCATCGGACTGGGCGAGTCGGTGTGTGTCTGTTGGTCCATCGTCGTCGTCGCTGACGTCGTCGTGGTCATCATACTGGACAGTAACGATGACGGCTGTGGGGGTGCTGGCTGATCCAACGAATTATCGACTTGTTCGAGCTGTCGAAATGCCTAAAATAGAAACACATTCGTTTCTTCCTCTATTTACACGTCCACACACACTGAATGCCGTTGGCTTTTTGCTGAGATCTGTCAAATTTCGGGGCCCTACCGGCTATTATTGACTTTGACTCACACTTTTGAAAAACCTCTTAGGTTTCCCCTTGAAATAGGTATGTTTTCACTGCCGGACAATTGTCCTGAACTGGTCCTTCCACACCTCAGGAAATTTCCAAGTTCCCCAAAGAACGTGCAAGAACATCGGGCTACCCGACTGCGGACCATCTAACAGGTGGTGAAAGATGGTTACGGTAGGTGAGAAAAGGCCGGTATGCGCGCCCCGAAATACCTTAAAGATCTACTGATCTAATTTGGCTATATCCTGTCTTTGGGACGACGACAGAGAGTGCACTTTTCGAGGTCGTCGTCGGCGTTGTGTCGTCGTCCTGTCATCATCATAGTGTTCAATGAACACATACCTACGCACACACACACGCATACGAGATTCATACAAAAAAGTACATTTAGAGGGGTGGACGAGTTGTCGCCGAGACTGCTTGTCCACATTCAGGGATTCGGGTAGTCCTGAAGGGGATATCAGCGCAGAGACCTATTCGAAAAGTGCGCTTGCAAGGGTGGACAAGTTGTCTCCATGGCTGATCCTTCCAGGGTTCTCGTGGTCCTGATGAAGGTATCAGCCCTGAGAATCATAAAAAAGTGCACTGTGGGGATGGACGAGTTGCCGTCAAAACTTGTTCGTCCACTTTCAGGGGTTAGTGTGCTCCTGCTGGAGGTCGCAGTGCATCTCCTGACTGACTAGTCCTAGTTGCTAATTCTGGCAGTGGACGAGTAGTCTGGAGGAGAACTGGTCTACTATCAGGGGCTAGGGTAGTCGAGTTGGAGTTAGCAGCGCCGAGATTCATATAGAAAGTACACCTGTAGAAGTGGACGAGTTGTGGCCGATACTATTCGTGCACTTTAAGGGGATAGGGTAGTCGAGTTGGAGGTGTAAGTGCATTTGCTCATTCAGTAGTCCTAGTTGTGATCGTGGTGGTGGACGAGTAGTCTCGGAAAGTCGTCCATTTTCGGGAGCTGGTCCAGTTGGAGGTTTCAGCGCTTCTACTGATTCACTTGTCCTATTTGCGCCTGAAAGTGGTAGTCTCGGGAACAGCTCATCCACTTTCAGGGGGGGGGGGGAGCTAGGGTAGTCGAGTTGCAGGCATCAGTGCCGAGAAATACAAAAATACAAAAAGTGAAAAGGGGTGGACGAGTTTCCGTAGAGGCTACTCTAAGGGATTCGGGTGGTCCTGTTGAAGCTGTCAGCGTCCGAGAATCATAGAAAAAGTACAGCGATAGGGTGAACAAGTTGTGGCTGAGACATCTTCTCCACTCTCAGGAATTCGGGTAGATCTGATGGCGGTAGCAGCGCCAAGAATCATACAAAAAGTACCTTTGTAGGGGTGGACGAGTTGTCGTCAAGTCCGCTCGTCCACTTCCAAGGGTTTGGGCAGGCCCGATGGAGGTCCCTACGCATCTCCTGACTGACTAGTCCTAGTGCTAATCCTGGCAGTGGACGAGTAGTCTGGAGGGCCTCGTCCACAATCACTGTGACGACATCCTGGACTGGAAGCAGTACCTTCCCGAACTAGCTCGCGCCCACTATAGAGGTCCTGTGTTCTAGAGCGCTCTACTACTTGAGAATGAGTTTTGGCGGAGTGCCCTGATCTTGCTGGTGCCTGACGCGCTATTTGTGAGTCCCACCAGGGAAACTGTTCATTGGTGTCGACCTACAATCGTGCAGCGGCCAGTGCGTGTGGTATAAGCGTTTTACGACAATGCACACACACGAGCGAATCAGTCTACAATAATATCGTAGAGGTATTGCATGCCGGGAGAGAATAAAAGAAAGAGATCTAAGAAAAACTCGACCAGCGAGTCATCGCCAGCGTGAGCGTTTGTGAACGTCGAGTGATACCGAAAAAGTTGATAGCGCTTTGTCTGTTCTGCAGTACGCACACACACACACACACTCCACCGTCATCGTCGTCTTCACTACGTCAATGATTGAAAGCTAATGTATGTGGTGGTGATGGAGAGAGGTAAGTGCGGAAGTTGAAGCAGTGGCTAGTGCTCCCCAGGGAAAAACCATTGAATACACAGGCAATTGTGCAATGAGGGTAAAAACGAATTTGGCAACATTCAAAGTAAGTATTCCTTCCGTGTAGGACCAAAAAGTCCATGAAAAAGTCAGGGAGGAGATTACCGTATAGGTTAGCAAGGGAAATTATGACTCGACGCCCTTATCAGGCTACGTTCTTCAACAAAACATAGCATTCCTTTATCTAACAGAAGCTCGTATAGGGTCTACAAAAGGGCAAGTCCTTTACCAAAAGGTAAACACCACATTATTGAAAGATCTTGATCTACTGGTAAAAGCCCATGTGTAGTTCCTGGAAGCTTTCGAGAGCCCTTTCAATATCTCTCCCTGAAGGCTATTCCTTCTCGGGCTGAAAAATCATAGAGGGAGTTCTCCCAAAAGTTATCCTTCCAATGGTCTCGAGGCTCCAAGCTTCATCAAGCTGTTGAAGCGCCTATGAAACATTGAGGGCAAAATTTGGAGCTCAGGTTTTGACTGAGGACATTTGCTTTCAGTGATTTTAGTAGGCAGCAATGTGTCACAGTTCTCAACAAAGCTCCACATAAGTATTTGACAGCTTTTGCCTCTCGGCTAGAGAAGGTCTGGAGTGTGGATAGTGGGAGGGGGCACTCAGACTCCTACTCAAAATCTAGTGTCGCATTGCGAGTTCCTCTCCAATCCAAAAGCCCTTGTGAAAAGGAGAGAGCTGTAATAGTTAGCTCGTGGCTAATGGTTTATCAGGGTGTTCGAGCCTCCCAAAAAGGGCTGGGTAACGCCGATGACAGTTGAGGGCAGAACTGTTCCCAGAGGTAAGAATAAATTGGTTGGAACAACTCGCTTCGAATAATGCTGAAAAGTAACAAGCAACGTTCCATAGATCACGACGAGAGGTACAAGGCTAGGACCGACCAGCTTTTATCCCGTCTGGAACGATCTTGTGTGGGGAGAGGATCAGAAGCATATACTCTATGCTCCATACTAAAGGCTTTGATGTGTCAGCTTTTTCTAATTCAAGGCTCGGGTAAAGGAAAACAAAAGAAAGGAAGAAAACTTCCGCCTGAAGTGGCTATGAACTTCCCCGGGACGAACCCCGTGCCCCATCAATGCCTTAAAAAAAATCCCAATGACCCTCTAGGAATGACCCCAGAGGCTTTTCAAAGTGAACATACAGAGAAATTCGAAAGGCGAGAAAAAAGGGTAGACAATTGGCTATGAGTCACCTCGGCGACTTGTGCTGGCGAAATGCCGGTACTGCGTAATCGTCGAATAAGCTCCAACTGTTCCACAGTAAAAAGTATCATCTGAAAAGTAAGGCAAAAATACGGTAGTCACGTGTCAAAAGTCGTGTAAATAGCGATTGAGTTAGTGTGAGAGTGTGTGATTTGAAGTTAGGGAGGGTTAGCTCACATTCCCTCTGAGTCAGACCCCGACAACACCGCTAGGCCACTTTGGCTCAACGGTGCGGGTAGCTGCGGGTGGGCTAGGGTGGTGGTGGTGGTCGTGGTTGCGGCCCAGGCAATAACTATGCTTGGGGGTGGGGAGAGCTGCGACGGACGGTGTTCGAAGAGGGGGCGGAGTCAACGATCGGGGTCAACGCGATGAGAGATAACACCAGAGAACGTATAGTATTCGCCGAGAAAAGGACACCTGTACTCTCTCACCCCCTGCTAACGAGGCGGAGAAACGCACGCAACGCGACGACGCCGCGATGCGATTTGTCGCGACCGAAAAAAATCACCATTGCTCGTTCATCTTCTGTTAGCCGATGAACAAACGATATGAATAAGCAACGATGTGGTTAGTCACTGGCAATGTATAGTATATTTGTCAAAAGTACACGGATCAAACGATAGGGGCGTGCCAAGGGGTCACAGCGCGTGTTGGGGGGGGGGGGCAGAATTGTCCCTACGTTCTGACCCGACCACATCTAGCTCATGGACGGTTGTAGAATGGTTAACGATGTGTCAACCAAGCCATGCGAATGGTTAACGGATTGAGTATAGTGAGAACCGGGCAGTACAAGATCGGTCCTGATCAGGGATATTTCCTGTCAGGACTCATTAACACGAACAGAATCAGGTTTTTACATGTTCTACTCGTGACGTATACACATTTTTAACATGCTGATAAGCATGTCCATGTGATAATCAAATCAGTGACTTCATCCTCCGAGGCTTAGTCAACGCATCAGGAGGGGCTATATGTAGCATGATAATTGCCTAAGAGGAAATAACCTTCAGAAATGTTCACGTTGGAGAAAAAATAGGCTTTAGAAGCATTTTTCGGTTTTTTTATAGTTTGAATGGTCAAATGATTTTTTTATGGTTATAAAATTTTCAGAAACAGGGCGGTCCTGCATAAACCGTGTATTTTTTTGCAGTAACGGCCGTGTCTGTTGTTTCAGAGCACATCAAGGCTAACAATACTAGACATTTTCGTCTCTATTCAGAGTGAGGGTACAGCATCGTTGTGTGCAACACATAGCAGGGGTCGTACTTTTCCTCTGGGAGGGGGGATCGTATTTGGTCGTTGGGAGAGGGGCGGGCTCGTACGTGCCTCCGTCCCTTTGAGAGAAATTTGTCGCGTTTATATGCCCCCCCCGCTCGACGGAAGATTTTTGGGTGGAAATACTGGAAAATGAGAGAAATTTGTGGGTGGGTGTTGGAGAGGGGGGGGGGGGGAAGGTCGTACTGACACCCTCTCTCGGAGAGGTGGGGTGGTACCTACA